CTCTTTTCTCAAGGGTTTGAGGTAGAGGTCAGAGCTTGGAATGAACCTCCATGAGTTCGAAGAACCCCCATTTTCTAAGATGGTTTCCACCTCCCAAACCACCCCCAGGGGTTGCATGGGATATACAGCCACTAGATTGCGACTACATAAAGGGCTACCACAATTTACCCTGGGGGTGGCTTCGGTTTGGGGGTGGAACCCATCTGGGGGTGGGTCAGAAATTGGTACCCACCTGGGAACCTTCATAATTGAAAGGACAAAACCCTGCGGTCCCTTGCTTTAATTTGACCCAATGAATTTGTCTCTGTTGGTGTTAACGGGAATCTATCACTACTCAAAACATACATCTATGCATACATCTTTACATACATACAGACAGACAGAAAGACAGACATACAGACATACATAGATACATACATATATACATATTAATATATACATATACACATATACACATATATATATATATATGTATATATATTTATATATACATACATACATACATACATACCTATATACATATATATATATACATACATACATACATACATATACATATACAAAGATATACAAATACATATACATACACACCTACACATACACACATACAGACAAACAGACAGACAGACAGACAGACAGACAGACAGACAGACAGACAGACATACATACACACGCCCACACATACATACACACACCCACACATACATACACACATACATACATACATGCATGCATGCATACATACATGCATGCATGCATACATACATACGTGCATACATACGTGCATACATACGTGCATGCATACATACATACAGACACACATACAGACACACATACATACATACATATATGTATACATACATACATACATACATACATACATACATACATACATACATACATACATACATACATACATACATACATACATACACATACATACATACATACATACATACATACACACACATATACACTTGTACACATTTACATACATACATATTTACATATATACATACATATATGTATACATACACACATACATACATACATACACACACATATACACTTGTACACATTTACAGACGTACATATTTTCATATTTACATACATATTTACATACATATATGTATACATACATACATACATACATACATACATACATACATACATACATACATACATACATACATACATACATACATACATACATACATACATACATACAGACACACATACACACATACATACATACACACATACAGACAGACATACAGACATACATACATACATACATACATACATACATACATACATACATATTTATATATATACATATATATATATATAGATACATACATACATACATATATATATATATACAAATATATCGGACCGGAGGTGGGTCACCCCCCGGAGCCCTTTGCGGATGCCTTCCGCCTGGCGGAGCTTCCGGCGCTGCCCCACGCCGGGGAGTTCCCCCCAGCGCGGGGCCAAGGCCCGCAGAGCGCGCCTCGGCTGCCGGAGGTCGGAGGTCGGACAGGGCGATGGTTGAAACCATGTGGATCTCGGAGGTTCGGATCGGTTTTCGGATGGTTGAAACCATTAAACCACGTAATGGGTTTTCCATTAAACCACTAGAAATCCTGCACCGCTTTGAAACCATGGTTGAAACCATTGGGTGGTATTGGGGGACTCAACAGAAACCAGGGTTTCACGGTGCGGAATGGAGTTCGCAACAGGTGCTGGCGCGAGAAGGGAATGGAATGAAGCCTTTTGGGATTTGAGAATAAAGTAAACCAGCAGTTGGATGGTTTATAAGGGTCATTCCATTTCTCATTCCCTGCTGAGCACCCGCAAGGTTTGTGGTGTTTTGGGGGGGGGGGGGGGTGCCCCTGCCTCGCTTTGGAGCGGGCCACTAGTCCCCTGTACATGACACTGGCAGCCATTTGAATTGTTCCCTAAAAATGTTGACCACTTTTTCAGGGTGATCGATTTGGACGCCCCTTCAATTTTGACCAGTACCACAGGGGAATAAACCAAGCGGAAGGAAGGGAGTCATAGCCAAAACAACACGAACGGTTTCGATCCAGAAAATGCAAGTCACCACCTTGTCCAAAAGGATGTGAGAGCTTTCCTCCCCCCTAGCAAGAAACTAGAAACAATGCGAGCGCTTCCCCGCCCGCCCAGCAAAAAGCTTGTGTTATTGCTTTATGGCGCTGAAACGGCTGTCTGATGTTGAGCTGGTACTTTGGGTTGTTGAGACTGAAGCCTTGTTTTCTCTTCGGGGTTATGTCAGTAGCAAACTAAGTGGACACCAGCCATTTCTGAGGGTGGTGTTGCCCTTGTTACCCGGCAGCATGATAGAAAAAGGTGGTCCCGCATAGGAAATGAAGTCTTTGGGGAATCAGCGCCTGAGAGAAGCTGTGTGTTTGTTCTTCTGTTTTGGGCAGAAAGTGGGCCGTGGATATGCGCTTCACAAATGTTGCATCATGTCACGCAGGGGTCAGAGTTGTTTGTTTTTTTTGAGGGCGCGTCATTGAATCAGCAATATGTAATCTTCACCCGCAAATTGCCGGCAATGTCGAGAATGCTCTTGAGGTGGCTGAGTGCTGTACGTTCGGTTGAACCAATACTCAAAAACATATGATAAACCGTCGAGTTGTCAATGTTTGGGCTGTCATTTCCAAACTTTCTTTGAGGTGGAGATATGTGGCTTTCAGATTTTGGGCAGTTGTCACCCGGGGACTCGGAGTTCGTTTCGCCTCGAGGTCAGGTTCTGCGTGGATGGCTTGGGCGCCCGGCGCATTGCCCACGGCGTGCTGGCCATGGAAGATGACGAGCTGATCCTCCACTTGGCCAAGCTTGGGGTTTGCCTGGACCCCGGCCGGGGTCAAAGGGCGGAAGAGGTTTTCCAGGATTGGGGCCAGTTCTGAGTCCATCTGAGACCTCATTCTGGCAGAGGGTAAAGATGCCTGACATAAATGTCTGTGTTAGGCCTTGAAGGCGCTCGAAGGCCAGACCGGATACCAGCTCAGGCTTGGACATTTGCCCCAGCAGCAACGAGCTGCTGGGCGTTGTGCCTGTCAAGGACTCTCCTCTCAAGCGCTTCCTGGACGCGGGCATGCGGGGCACCCGAGCGGAGCCACGGTTTGAGAGAAACACGGAGTCGGGGGGTCGTGTGGCTGCAGCGATTCTGGGCAGAACCCGAATTCGGAAGCGAAAAAAGATACCTACCATTTTGGGGAGTGCCGGTACTTGACAACCCCATGGAAGTGGTCAGGGCTGTGGGCCATGCCAACCAGCTCTAGCATGATGAAGGTGTTTGGCGGATCAGAAAGGTGTATCTGGATGAATCACTTTTGCCGAGACCCTGTACCATCAACTCGGATGATCCCCTGCTCTTCGGCTGCGATCTGCTCGGCGAGTTCGAGAGATGCAGGAAGGAGTTCCCAAGCTCAACTTAGCATATGCCCACGCCTCGCACAGGAGGCTAGGAGCTGGGTCAAGTCAAAGATCGCTTGGCGGAAGGTGGCCACTATCGGCAAAGAGTCTTGACCATCGCTTGGGGAGAACAAACATCCTGCTGAATCTATGCCCTGGCAGATCAATTGCTCAGAGGTTGCAACACGGGCAGGGATTGCTTTTCACAAGGCTCCCAAGTCAAACTCATTAGTCTGATGCGCCTGACATCCTGCGCGGTCCCCAGTTTGAGAGGGAGGTTGATTCCTTTCAAAGTGGACCAGGGAAGCTCCCTGACCCCATACCATGACTTGGCCCAGCTCTGGTTTGCACACCTGTCGACCCAGGCTAAAGATGACAGATGACCGGCTCGCCGCTTGTGCAGCCTCCTGGCTTGAAGACTTGGATGCCTGACACTCCTTGCAACCAGAGTTGCCAAAACATTCTGTCAAGGCCGAGCTCGGCACCCACAAGGGGACAAGGGGCAACCCATTTTGTTGCATTGGTTCGAGTCAAAACACTACGGTGGGGCTACCCATTGGTTTAAACATGTTTAAACCATGATAATAATGATTTCTTGTGAAGGTGGTGTTTAAACCATATCTTGCCCCCTGGCAAAACACGCGACCACATGCCTGCATGCCTACCACTTGGCTGTGGCGAGGCGAACTCGTTTCAGCACAGCCGCGCGCCGGAAGAGCTGAAGCGGCGAGGTCTCCGCGGCGTGGAGGTCGGGTGGAGGTCTTTGCGGGGGGGGGGGGGGTTGTTTTTGGGTTAGAGGGAAACCAATAGCAAACCAAAGTCCCAAACGGGTCAATGGGTCAAAACCCAGGAAACCCCTGGTGAAAATCAACATAGGTGGCAAATGGATGTTCATCCACCCCAAAATGGGATCGCCATAGGTTACGAGGCCATGAGTCAATGGGTCTGGTACTTTCTGAACTGAAGGCGGTGAATGTTTCGATCCCCTTTCGCTGTTTGCGAGGCATGGTGTTTGTGACATGTGACCAGAGCCGACAGTTGCTATTTGACAAGAGAATTGCTGGGGTTGTCTCTGAATATGTCAAACTTAGGGGTCAATAGAATATGGTTGGGAGCCCAAAGAGGACCCAAGGAGGTTAACCATTTTGGGTGCGAAAGAAGCGCGGCAGGAATGGCTGCCCCGCCTCCTGGCAGTTTCTGCAGTGTTTTCATCGCTGCGAATGAGGACCAAGAGGTTGGGGGTAATGGGGTGTCTTGTCATGTCTGCTCGGCAAACAAGGAAGGAATGCATCCTTTCCGCAGCTCGCAGTTTTGTTATTGGTCCACGGACAAAGTGCTCAACTTGTGCCCAGGTGCCCACAAGCGTGTCAGTGACACGGACGAAAGTGAGCTGAGGGCAAAAAGACCGCTTGGCTGGGCTGGGCACCGCAATCTGCCCGGTGACAGGGACGTGTTTGTAGGCCCATGCAATATATCAGTTCCTGTTCAACTGCTGTTATTTGTGTCGTCAAATCAGTGCGAAGTGGATGTGGCCGGGCATTTCGATGCTGGCCTAGGCCAACAGTGGGCCCAGCTGGAGGTGGGAGTGGGAGTTCTCATTGCATGCTCAGTGGAGACTTCGCTACACGTCCCAACCTTTCATTTGCAAGAATCAGCACGAGGACTTGGTGACAATCATCGAGGAGCAGCTGAGCCAGGTGCGACATTCGGCGCAAATTCCATTTGGGACGCCATCCCGCCAGGAGAATCAGAATGAAGGCTCAGCACACGCACGACAAAGGCTGGGGCCAATAGAGGGCAGGCGCTCCTTGGCAGCATCGCATACGGATCCGTTGGGTTAGCTGCGTTTTGGAGCCCGTCTCAGAGTCTCAGAGTCAGCCAAGGTACAAAACTTGTCGTGGATCGCGCTGCGCTCTCAGCGAGAGCACAAATTGGACCACCCCGATGACGTTGGTAAGGCCTTGGAAGCAATGGGCGGACAAGGAACCAGTCGCCGCTTGGCATGCGGAAAGGACCCATCGCAAATATGGAGGGGCATCGACAGTGTTGGTAAAGTTCACAGGGTGTCTGGATGTTGGTATCAAATGGAGATGGTTCCTAGCCGGCATGAGACCGGTGAACCCCCCATGCCATGTTTGATTCAGAGCCGTTTTGCGCTCGGCGCGAGCCTCTGACGCGCCCAAAGCCTCGAGGCCAGGTGGTCGAGTGGATCGAAGAGCACCCCGAGGAGCTGGAGAAGCTGCGGGAGTCGAAGCTGAACTGGACCGGCCGACGGATCGAACGTGGGAAGTGGGAGGGGATGCCCGACCTCTTGGAGGGAAGTCTTGGAACTCTTGGGAATTCTTGGAGGGAATTCTTGGAGGAGGCCTCGAAAACGGGGAAGGAGGGGGAGGCAAGAGCCAGAAAGAAAATGCCAAGAGCCAGTCAGGAGGCTCCAGGCCAACCAATCCGCATTGGCTGGGTGGGTGGTCGGGTTGTTGGTGTGAGCAGTGGTATGTGTGTGTGTGTGTGTGTTGTCACTGATGCAAAAATGACGGCTTCCTTCTGGTTTCCTTGACACCCAGCCGAACGGGGGCCTAGTTGTTTGGATGTAATACATTTTTGCACGAATGAGTGCTGACCATCATATTTCACCAAGGCCTTCCAAGCTCCAATCGGCTCCAATCGCATAGCGCACTGTCAGGAATGTGCGAGAAGGCCGCAACAAGCCGGCATCCTGTTTGCAAGGAGTACGTCAGAGAATGACTCACGGCATTGTTGTTGGTACTCTACTATTTGAAGAGGACGTGGAGGTACCACCCAAAGAAACAACAATCAGGGGACCTTGTGGGGAAGCAAGGAATTTGTACGTTGCTCAAACAGGGAGCCTTCCTTGTTGGATGGATTGCAATGGAATACAAGTGGGAACCAACCACCTGGAAGGGGTCCCGTATTTCTAGACACACCCAGTTCTTGAATTGGCGCTGCTCCTTTGTTGTTGCCTGACTAGATTTCCCATAGCTGTGATGGTGGTTAGAAGGTAGGCAGTTGTTCACTGATGACATCAGTGCTGAGATTTGAAGCTTGAACCTTCTTTGCACCGCACGGCAGAGTTGCAATTGCAGTGATTGCGTGACTACTTGAATGCATTTGTATAGTCCAGGTGTGGTATGTGACAGACACAATGTCTCACTGTGCCTATTTGTACCCCATCAAGCACAGTCCTGAAGCTCTTCCGGGATTCAGCCTTGGAATATCAATTTGGGTCAAGGTTGTCCAGATGTTTTCTCTAGGCATGGGTGCCATCATATTGCAGCGCCGAGGTGTGGCATAGCACTGTGCAATCCTTAGCTCGCCAATGCACAGTATGTGAGCATGTAGGGTTTTACCGTGTGGGAACATTATGTCAAAACCAGGAACCCTTTGAGGGGACGGCTTTAAACAGAAACCGCCCCAAGCATCCCGCAGCTTTGACCCACGGCCATGGGTAAACATCAAGCTGTGGCCTTCCCTTGCGAGGATTTGTTTTTCGCATATTGCCCGCCAGGTTCAGTCCATCATGAGCCTTTTCCGAAAGGTCCAGAAGCCCGGCCAGCGGCTCCCTGAGAGTCGCAAGGATTTCTTTGGTAGGCCTTGACGGGGCGCGACGGCATAGCATCCAGCACAAGCTGAGAACAAACGGCTGTGGTGGTCAAAAATAGGGCAACCCCAAAATGGCTTGCCCTGGTAAATGGAAACATGGACTAGGTTGTCTGGCGGCTTAATTTTCATCTATACCCAAGTAAATAATTGATTGGATTTGTTGGGAGATGCTGTGATTTTCGACTTGAGGCCAGCCATCTACCTGGCCAGCACTGCCCCCGAGGCGCATTCCTAGGAACATCCGTGGCCACGGCACAAAAGGCGGCGTAAGATCCCAGCGCCGGTGAATGAGTCCCTGCAAGTCTCCAGCCGGTAATGAGAGCCTTTGTGAAACTGGCAGACGTAAAGTCGAAACGGATTTTTTCGAAGGGGACGTGGAGGTTTTTGTGCCGCGCGGTTTTTCCCGTTTTTCACTGCCCAAGCTTGCATTTCCTGTTTAGAAAGGAAGAGCGACGGCCCTTCCGTGTGGTGGCCATGAGAAATCCCGCTGAGGGCCTCATAAGATTTTACTCGGCGCAGCAATCCAGGAGCCTCTGGCAATTCTGGACGCTTCCCAAAAGCCTCCGCGGAGGCGGCCGATGTCAGAGCTTCCAGATTGGACCAACTGCCGGCGCATGCGAATTTTCGCTCAGAGAGGGCTAAGGAGACTCATGTCGAAGTGACTTTGGCGCAAATCCAGAGCTTTTCGCTGAAGGCTCCATCGGATTGCCGCCCGCGTTTGCCGCAGGGCCAAGCGCCCGGCCGACGAAAACGCGGCCGCCCCGGACCTCCCGGACCCGGCCGCGCCGGCGGCACCGGAGGCGGAGGCGCCGGCGAAGCCCAAGCGAGCGCGGCGGGCGCCGCCCTCGAGTCTGCGTTTTGCGTTGAAGTCTTGGCGATGGCCATGGCCATGTGGGACATGTTAAAGCAATCCGGAAGCTGAGGAGCCCAAGCCCAAGGAGCCCAAAGAGCTTAAGGAGCCCAAAGAGCTCAAGGAGCCCAAGGAGCTCAAGGAGCCCAAGGAGCCCAAGGAGCTCAAGGAGCCCAAAGAGCCCAAAGAGCCCAAAGAGCCCAAAGAGCCCAAGGCTAAGGCGTCCAAGGCGCCCAAAGAGCCCAAGGCGAAGGCCAAAGCCAAGGCCGATGGCCAGTGGGCGCCTCAGTGTTCCTTCAGTTCAGATTCAGTTCAGACCCTAAATTGGTGATGTTTGGTTCGAAAAGGCAGGTTCCAGCTTGCGTCGCTTGAACATGTATGTGTGTATATATATATATATATTAAATATATATATATAGATGTATATATATATATATATATGGGTGTAGACCCGAGCATATTGGTCATTTGTACGCCCATGTTGTCATCGTGCCATCGGGTGGGGGGGGGGAGAATGATCACGAGCAAACGCGCTTGCGCTGGTCATCTTGCCGCCTCAAGCATGCTTGCACATCTGCACGTAGGAACGTGTTGGGGATACCGCCTGACTTTGGAGGCGCGCCTCACAGCCTTCCGCGGAAAGGGCTGCGGCAATGGCGGCATCCAGGACTGAGCAACAGTTCTCCTCGCGTTTGCTCGCCGCCTGCGTGAGAGTCCGCGCGCAATGTACGCTGAAAGCGGTCCAATGCCTCAACGACATAAACCAACATGAGGTAGCTCCACACCGATATATACATATATATATATATACGTACACCGTGTACATATATATTTACATATACCTGTATGAAAATGTGTATATATATGTATATGTATATATATATATATATGTATATATATATATGTATCTGTCCATTTATAGTCTATCCCAGAATCTCCTAGAAATATGTGAGAATTTCATTTAATGGGTTACATCAGTTGCTCCAAGGCCAGCCGAGAGTGTGCCAAAGAAGCTGGACGCATTGGACAGCGCGCAACCTGTCTGCAAGAATTAAATCCGCGTTTCCTGTTGGAATGGCCATGGCATCCAAGCTGGGACTCTAGCATGAGTTGGCTGCGGGTCAAAAATAGGTACCCCAAATGGAACCCCTGCTAAATGGAAAGAAGGACTAAAACCTGCGGTTCCCTGGTGGTTTTGTTTTGACCCATACCCAGTTACAAGTTGGGCTTCAACACAGCTTCCCAGTGTGTTTCTTTTGTTCATTCTGCCCGACGCAGGCTCGATGCGGCATTTGCAGCTGCAGCCAGTGGGTGATTTGACAGTGCCTAACACATACCAGGGCTTGCCGGTGTTGCTTCCGGCAAACCGGGATGTATAATTAAGCCATGGGGAGGTGCAGCCTGCGCATCCCGTTGTCTCTCTCGCTCCGTTTGCTCACTCGGGCCCAAGAGTTTCACCTCTGTACAGTGCGGTGTGGGCAGAAAGACAAGCAAGCCGGTGTGGAGTTGGCACCTGCGGAGGGATGTGGGTCTAAAATTGTGGACCCCTTATAAAAGAGTGGCTGGTTTCCTTTGCCTTCGAAACCATCCACAAAACGACCCTCCCCTCGATTTGGACACACACGTGCGGCCGCTGCCACCACCATCTCGCTTTCACGGATGGCTCACTTCACAACCGTTCCAAGATTGTCAAAGTATAGCAGAAGGAAGACACATTCTGGTACAGAGCCGCACACTTTGCGGAACTGCTGCATGAGCTGATGAACACGTGAACTGCCGGTCGTCATGGTTTGCCACCACTTCAGTCACATGGACTGCCGGTAGCATGGACTGGCTCATGGAAGCCAAACATATTGATGGCAAAAGCTGACGAGCAAGATGCCGCCGCGCTTCGGGAGGAGGCAACATTCACTCACACCGGGGACATGTGTTGCATCCTTGACGCAGGTAGAGCGGTTGGAGCAGGCGTGCCACTCTGAGCTCCGAAAACTCCCAAGGCAGCCCTTCAGGCAATGCAGAGGGGTACACAATTGAGGAAAGAGAAATGGCAGTCCAGCTTGGTAGATTCGGGATGAACAGAGTCGC